CTTCAGTCATTAACTATCTAGCGTAAATCCTTTCTAGTAAACTGGAAAGTCATTGGTGCATAATGCGCCGTCTCGCACATTACCGTGTTTTGACGATTTTTTCGCATCATTAGAGATTTTTACCATTTTGAGGATCTCTAGCACCTCTTTTTTTAGGAGCTGTGTTCTAATTATTCAATCGCAATTCTTTAAGGATGACTTTTACGTGCCCTGTAAGGAGCTAGCGTTGAAATTCCAACGAGGCGATATATTGCATGTGATAAGCACTTCCGACGAGAACTGGTGGCAAGCCTATCGTGAAGGAGACGACCCATCCTCATCGCTAGCAGGCCTAATACCATCAACTCATTTTCAGCAGCAGTCAGTTTTCCGTCTCTTTTTCGAAAATATTTGGATTTTTTTTCCAATTTTTTTCGTCTTTCGGAATTTATCATTTACGTTTTCTATTCCATAAATTTTTCATTTCTTCTCATATTAGCACGTCTATTTTTCACTGTATTAGAATTCTCCAGTCGGAATTTTTCAGCTTATTTCTCAATATCCCAATGTAACATTTCACTTTCATCGGTTTCTAATCCAGTTGACTATCAGGCGATTTCGCTACGCGATGATTTGCTTAAGCATAAGATTGTTTTGTTTTTAGAGTGATTCTTTACAATCGTGAATTGGAGAGAGAGAACACCTCGGACAGTAGTACAAAACGGAAAGACTTCTTTGGGTGTACCAAGAAGAAATCTTTGGGTAAAGCGAAAGGAAAACGAATTGTGCAGGATGAGATGAAATCAGCTGATGAAGTTTCAAATGATGACAGTGGTTTGTTTCCAACTCTTTTCGCTTCCTTGTCTTCAATTATTCGCATCTTCATTTTTGTGCTGAATTACTTGGAAAGGTGAAAATAATATTGATACGAGCAATATAAGCAATCCTGTCCGTTAGCAAACAGATACAGTCTGCGGTATTCAGACAGCCGTGTTGTAGATGTTATAAGGAAGATTGCCTACGCATTGTAATGTGCTTGATTGCATGAACATTCTCAATGGATACCTTCTGCTTTCAAACGGTCCATCTTCGATCGTTCCCATCATGAAGCAGTTTCAATTTCTAGTTTCGTTTCAATAATTTTTTCGAGAATTTTCAGAGATGCTCACGTATGAAGAAGTATCACTGTATATGTCGAAAGGGACCCGAAAAAGACCAATAGTTTTGTGTGGACCCGAAGGAGTGGGTTGTCTCGAGCTCAGGCAACGTCTCGTAGAGAGTGATAAGAGTAAATTCGCAAGTGCTGTTCCTCGTAAGTACCTCTGGTTTCTTGGTTTCATTGTCTTATTTCCGTAAGATTTCGTGCAATTGATCAAATTGAATGGTAATAATCGAGCGAGCAGTTCATTGAACATGAAATGATATCGATCTCGGACTGATGTTTTGCAACTGTTCACATGTTTAAATGTAGCGACTCCTTCAGAAAGCTACCTTGTCAATTCGAACAGTTTAGCCGTCATCAAATGTATATTTGATTGTGCGCCACAACAGAGATTATATTGAAATAGTTTACATACATGACATGCCTTCGTAAATTTAGTTACAGTTTTAGAACTAAGCAATCACTTTTCTGACAACCAAGGTCCACCTGTATCGGGTAGTATCCTTCCTTGAATTGTGGAGCTGGAGCTAGTTGCGAGCGTTCAACCAGCCCCTAGCATTCATCCATAAATAAAGACCCATCTGACCGCAAGTGATAAAAATGTCGAATATTACTTCATTTCGACTGATAATATTCATAGTGCTACTTGTAGACACAACGCGACCAAAGAAATCTGGTGAATTGGACGATGTGCATTTTCATTTTGTGACACGGCAAAAGTTTCAAGAAGACGCGAAAATGGGTAAATTCATTGAATATGGTGAATATCAGAAGCATTTATATGGTACTTCAATTGCTGCAATTCAAAGCGTCGTGAATCGTGGGAAAATTTGTTTACTAACACTTAAGGCCGAGGTAATTTTTTTGCGAGTTTTTAATTGGATGATTGCAATTTGCACAACTAATGAAGATGATTATCGGGAATGAAATATATGTAATATCCGTGAAAGAAAACTTTTGTTACTTCCTGCTAAATAGCGTAAGCTAAATGCATAAATTTCATTAATTAGTTAGTTCCTTTTTGGTTTTAAACTTTAACAATATATGGATGAGATATGAAGATGGATTGTCAACGATATGGGCATTTTGAATAGTAACAATAGAAAGAAAGAGGGAAGAATAAGGCTTAGTTTTGAACGCTTTTTTACTCACCAATATCGGGTTGTGATAAGAAATACACGAATACTGATGATGGTGGATGGTGAAAAAGTTCCGATTCACTTCAGTGTTATAATATCTTTGATGCGTTAACTGTAACCTTCTGAACAAATCATATCTTTAACAAATATCAAATCTTTAAAACAAATCATATCTTTAAAATTGTACATTTCAGAATCTGAAAGCGCTCAGGCGAACATCGTTAATGCCTTATGTGGTGTTCATAGCGCCACCGTCACTTCAGCAGTTGAAGCGACAGAAGGAATCATTAGGCCAGTTCAATGTCAAAGAAGAACAGCTGAAGTTAACATTGAATGAGGGAAAACTCACTGAACAGGTAGATAGATACTTTTTGCTTGAAATGCCTCAATTTGGCAGCATTCGATTTCAAGTTACCTTTCCTACTGCTACTTGGTAGCGATTTTCGGCTCGCACTGAACATCCTACTGCTATGAAATCGAAACTTTGAAAGTTCCGCCAATCATTAAAACTTGCGAATTTGAAATTTCTATTGTGAACCTAGACATGAAGTCAGCATGCTTCCACAAATCTCAATCAATATCATTCATTTATCTGTCTGGCATAAATGGTCATTGTGATCATAAATTCAGGAATATGGCCACTTATTTGACCATATCATTGTGAATATTGACTTGGATCGATCGCTGAACGAAATGAAAGATATTGTTCGAAAGTTGGAAACTGAACCACAATGGGTGCCATCGTTTTGGCTGAATAGACCCGAAGCGAATTATTATCGCTGATGATGAAGTGTCGCCTCGCCGTTCACCGCATTCCGAATTCCGATCAACCATATTGACAACAATAAAAATAATTTTATTGGCGCTTCTCCGCTTACAAATGCAATTTGATATCTTTTAAAATTTGTTTTCATCGTTCTTTTGAA